CTAAAGTCAGACAGTTTTTAAGTTGATTACTAATCTATCTATTTATGAATCAAAAATTATGAAGAGAATTGAACTTACTACTGTACTAGAGTTAATACCTGAATTCGGATGCTATATGATTGATTATGATTGAAACTCATACGTACAGTATATATCGTACTAATATAAATCCAGATTTAATATTTAATTATTAAATCCGAATTTAACTATCCAGATTTAATGTTAATCATTAAAATCCAGATTCAGGTATTAACTCTATACTGTATCTGATTTTAGACGATCCTTAAAAAACATTTTTATTTTTAATAAAAAATTTTTTAACATGTCTATTAATAGGTTCGAATAATAAATCGGCATAGTCATCTTTGGTTTGTTCATAAGAAGGTGCAAACTTCTTAATAAGCAATCTCATTGTCAGATAAATAAGGTTAAGAGTAGGATAGCTTGAACCAGAAAATATGTTGGTAGTCTCATAGAATGGCTTTAATAATGAAATAAGATTATCTAACAATCGCCATTCATTTTCGTTAGATTTATTAATTTTAAATATTCGACATCAAGTCTGTCACAGCGTTCTGATTCTGAAGGCAACATTATAACAAGATACTCGATCACTTTTCGTAGTTCTTTAAGCCAGACCCAAGCCAAGTATGAGGAGTTCTATCTTGTTGGCACGTCATCGATTGTTTGATAAATCTTTGGATATCTACATTTTTCTTGTGTATCCATAAGTCGTTCAGATTGCTTAGGGCTTTAAGAAAAAAAAAGAATTAAATTTTTTGCTCGCTTAATAAGTCGCACCGCGGGTTTAAGACCTTTTAGCACACTTAGTTGAAGTGTATGGGCTGAACAAGATGATCGTGTAACATTATCCATTAAACTAATCGCCTTTTTAACATTGGCACCGTTATCAGTAGTAATGCAAAAAATCCGCCTAGTGAGTCTCCAATTAGTAATAACTTGATTTAGAGAATCTTCGATAGCTTCAGCTATATGTGGTGATGGAAGTGGTTGTATTGTTAATAAAGCTTCCTTTAATTCAAAATTTGAATTGATCCATGTCACTGTGACCCCAATATATGCTTGATTGGTTCTTGAGCTCTATAAATCTGTCGTCAGATTAACATATCCACTATCCGTATTTATCATACCAAATAATTAATCGTAACTTCAATCATAAGCCTTATTAATTATTTTTTTCATAGTTTTTTCACAAGGAATTTGAAATCCAGCTTTCATATGGTTTAAGAGTTGACGAAAAGCTTTACTTTGTAAAATATGAAAAGGTTGACAATCCTCAATTATAAATTCGACCAATAATTGCGCTATCTTTTCCTGTCTCCACTTTGTAATAACATGCATAGCCTTGATGATTGAGTCATTAGTGTTGGTTCCCTCAGGATAGTCTTTATCAATTTGATGCTTAGACCAAAGATGGCCAAGCATATTTTCTGTTGAAGAATCATGTGCATACTTGACGGTAATGTTATTATTTTTACAGATTTTGCAAACAGTAAAATTGCCATTTTCTGTTGTCTCAACCTCGAAATGATCCCATACAATACTAGAATTATCGCGTTTTTTTCGCTTTTTTGATTTACACGCAGGCGATCTTTCAGATTCAAGTGGCTCTTCATATCCTGAAAATTCATCATCATTCGCAGAGGGTATATTATCCTCTAACATGTGATTAGACACTGAAGAACTCATTCGGGTAAA